CTTTGAGACGGCGGGAGTGCTGCTCCCAGCCCCCCGCCGTAAATGGGAGCTCTGATGCCACGCGCGGGACGCTGGAAGTACCTGAACTGAGACCTTATTCAGGACCGAATCACCCCCCCGACCCCCTCCCAAAATAATAATAATCCCTCTGACACGCTGGCTGCCGGCGGGACACAGGCAGCCTTTGTGCTGCGCCGTTCAGGGGACCTTCTGTTGGTGCAGCAGCAATGTCCCTTTGTGCGTCCCGCGCGCTGGACGGGGACAGTGAATGGAAGGTTCTGCTGCTGTTTATTTTCTTTAGGAGAGCCGGAGGGGTGGGGAGGGGGAGAAGGAAGCCGCTGGGAGGTTCATGTTCACATCCTCCGCTTGGAGACACCTCAGTCTTTGCTGCCGCCCCCTCGCCCGGCCGCCTGCACAATGAGGGCTTGTGCAGCTCCGGCGAGGAGCGCTGGGGCGCTCACCGAGGGGATGGAGGGGACCCCCGGAGCGTGCAGGCGCGACTTCCACACGGCTTGGGGAAAACGCAGATTGGAAACAACAGGGTCTGGATTTGCTCTGCGTTTTTTGGCCGCGCTCAGTAGCATCTCCTGTCTCAGGCTCTTGAAATGCTCGGTGAGATGGGTTCCCCTTGGGAGCGCACCCAGAGCAGCTCCCTCAGGCTGATGGGCAGGACCGGGCTTGGCAGAGCCCCTTGGTTGATGATGCTGGGTAACGAGTGACGGAGCTGGGCTCCAACCCCGCTGCTGTGCCCTTGCCATGCCCTGCAAGAGGACCCCAGGCACACCCCCAGTCCACCTCCATGGCACTAAAAATGCTCTCATGAGGTCCACAAGCACAGCCCGTGCCTCTGTGCTTCACCCTGGGGCTGTGCAAGGGCTCAACTGGGAGCCATGGGTGCTGTTGGGATGCAGCCGCACACCCTAGGCCCTGTCAGCACATCCCACCCCAGAGCTGGAGGTGGGGCGAGGGGTCCATGGGGAGCACATTCCCATCCTCCTCCTCCTCTCGCTGGCAGGTACCGCACCCCGTCCCCGCGGCAGAGCGGGACAAAGCAGGTTGCTAAAAAATGGTGCTGTTGTGTCATGAGCAAGCTGCGTATAATTCAAATATTATTCGAACAAATGAGTCAGGAAGCGTCTGGGCCGCTGGCCCGGGTTGGCGCAGCCAAATTTTTCTGGCCCTCTGTGGTGGAGCTGGGTGTTTCGGTGCTGCCGGCTCTGGTAGGCAGTGCCGTGAGAGCCTGGCCTGGATGTGGGCACTGGGGGCTGCGTGGTGCTCCCATCACTGCGGGTTTGTGTGCACAGCTGGAGGGGCTGTCAGAGGCCTTCAGGCCTCAGTGCCTTGCTTCAGCCGTTCTGGTGGCTGCCCAGTGGGACCAGGGACACCCCTTGGTGCAGCAGGGAGCTGGAAGGGCGATGGGTGCCTGTCCTGGGGTGTAGGGAGGCAGAGCTGTGGCTGCCCTCGTGTGCTGGTGAAATGGGGCAGGCGCTGGTTTGTGAAGCAGCTCTGGGTGCCCCGGTGTGTGGCACCGTGTGGCCCGCTGGCTCCTGTCCCCGCAGCCCATCAGGGAGGACGGTGAGCGGTGTTCCCAGGGCCGTTACAGCAAGCAAAGCCCCGGTGCCCAGCCCCGGTGTCCGGCTGTGCCTGGAGCTGTAGCTGGCAGCGTCTCGCGAAGCTGCTGGAGCCAAACTAGGAGGGGAGCAGAGCTGGTGACTGCCTCCAGGAGCCTCCCAGCCCATACCACCGGCTCCAGAAGCTTCTGTGAAGGCTGTCTGATGCCTCAGCCGAGCATTTCTGTGCCTCTGGGGGCAGCCCTTAGTGCTGGTTGTGTTCAGAGAAACGGATCCAGGGGGATGAGGATGGAGGGAAGTGCCTGCGATTTTCCTTTGCAGCTTGCCTGGGTTTCCTAGATGGCACAAGGATATTCTGAGGGATGCTGCTTGCTCCTCTGCAGCAAGCCAGGCCTTCAGGCACCGCTGGACACGGAGCCATCACCTACTTCATGTCCCAGGACCTCCTGGTGGTCACCCTCGTGCAGGACCCTTCTTGCCCTGTGTATCGTGTCAAACTGGCCGAATCCCTTGGCTTCCTGACCAGGATCTCCCCTGCAGCCCCAGCTTCTGGGTCTGTGGGGCATGGTGGGGTCGGGCGGGGTTCGGCCGGGGGCAGCTTCACCCCTGTGGGGAGACCCCGCTTTGGGAACAATGGCTGCTGAGGGGGGGGGTCTTCCTCAGGGGCTGGTTTTGGAGGGGCTGCCCGGGTGTCCTGTGGTGATGCTGGTGATGCTCACTGGGACAACAGGCCCCGAGGTAGCGGGCACGGTGTCCTCTGGGGCGTGGGGAGGCCTGGAGGGGACCAGGATGCTGATGTCCCATCCCACGATGGGGCTGATGATGGAGCTGAGTGGTGACTGCGTGGTCTCTTTCTCCGTGTCCCCTGGTCCCCCGCAGTGGAGAACAGGCAGCTGACCCTGGACCTGCAGACGGAGAACAAAGGCAGCGTTGTCTCGGGCGGGGAGCTGACAATTTTCCTGGACGGGCCCGCTGTTGATCTGGGAAGTTTGCCTAATGGCAGCGCCGTGACGGAGGGTGAGTGCTGCCCGGCTTCGCGTGTGCACGGTGGCTCCGAGCACGAGGTGGGGACAGGAGCGGGGCTGCGGGCTCGGCCCTGGCACCCTGGAGCCAACATCCAGTGGCCAGCCGCCACCTCCTGTCCCTGGTAAGGCCCTGGGCTGGCCCATGGGCTCCCACGGGAGTGAGCGTCGACAGCCTCACGCCCCAACTCTGGCGTTTGCCTTCCCCAGCGCGGCGCTCAGAGCCGTGGGGTGCTGTGGGGATGGGCAATGCCATAGCACAGCAGTGGGAGAGGAGAGGACCTCAGTGTAAAGGCAGGGGGTCATCGTGTGCTGATGGGTCCGTCCTGTAACACGTGGGGCTGTGGTGCTTTTGGGTCTCCTTTTGGGAAGGAGAGAGGGCAGAACCAGGAGGTGCCTCAGGCATTATTCTTCACCTGCTTTTTCCTCATCCATTCAGGGTCGCAGGTGCCTGGACGGGACCCCAGCAGCACGGCTGCGACCACAGAGGGCAGACACCAGGCTCCCAGTACGAACTGCTTTGGGAGCAGACCGAGGTAAGGGCACCGTGCTGGTGGCTCCTGTCAGTCCGTTGCTGGGTGGTTCCTGGGCCGGGAGGCGGACCCCAGTCTCTCCTATAGCATTTGTTTCTCGAGGAACATCAGGTCTGCCATGGCCCAGATGGTTTCCAGCAGTTTTTCTGCTGGCAGCCGCAGGAATGGTCTGTTGGAGAGGTGTGGAGCAGACTGTGAGCAGGGAAACCAGCAAAGGGCTGGGCTGCAGGGCTCTGGACTGGGATTATGGGGACCCCAGCTCCTGCCTGAAGCGCAGGCACAGCGCCAGGCTGGGAAGCACCGTGCCCCTTTGGGGTGATGGCCACAGGGGGCCGTTCTGAAGGTGCAGGGAAAGCAGGAGAAGCAGAGCTGCAGGGAAATAGCAGCTGCTTCCAAGGGAAATGAGATGCTCGGGCACCCAGCCATCCTCTGCCTGGCGCAGAGCCCTTCCTTGCCTTCTCGCTGGGCCAGAGTGGCTCAGCGCTGCTCCTTTTGGAGCTGTGGTTATTGAGAGACGTGTCACGCTGTCGACATGGAGTTGAATTTAACACCTATTTATATTTCCAGAGCGTGGCAGTGGCCCAGCAGCCTATACAGATGTTCTGGTGAGGAGTGTGCCTGTAGTGAGGGCGCCTGCAGCCTGTCCCGTCCTAGGCTTAGGAGTGTTCCCACCACCAAACCCCACTGCTTTTCTGCTCCTCCTTCATCTGCTGGGCACTAACAGGAGATGAGCGAAGGGGAGAAAGGTTTCAGATCTAAAAAGTAACCCTGTCCTTCCAGATCTCCCACCTGAGAAGGGAGTGGGATGGGATATTGGGAGCAGGTTGCTGAGCACAGTTTGTGCCCTTTTGTGGCTGCTTCTCTGGATTTGGGCTGTCTGGGTGTTAAAGCTTTCTAAAGGATGGGAGAGCCTCAGTGTCCTGAGGGGAGCTGGGCTTTGCAGCCACTTAGCAGCTATGGGTAGGTGCTAGAAAGCCTGCAAGGAAAGGTGTGGTTTGGGAGGCTCAGCAGGTGACCAGCACTGCTTATTGCTGGTTCCCGATGGCTCTCCAGTAGCTTCTGCTTCTACTGGTGTCTTCACCTGTGGGATGAGCATGGTGAGGTGTGGCCAGTCCCCATGCAGGGGACCTTTAGAGACCTTCCAAGTGTGCTTGAAATCATTTACAATTCCTCCTAGACCCACCCAAATTTAGGGTTGTTCTGGACCCAGCTCCACAGTTCGGTGCAGTGCTGCTCCGTGGGCATTGCCGTACGTACCCGCCACGGGAGCGTGCGGGTCCCTCACGCTTGGGAACGCTGTTTGATGTTTGCTCTGTTTGTGTGCAGAGCCGTGTTTGTTTTCATGGGCTCGGTGATGGATGCTGGCAAACTCGCTGGATGGAAAGAAAAGGGTCATTCTTCGCTCCTCGGCTATTTCTACACCGTCCCCTCGGGGGAAACTGCTTGGTCAGGGCTTCTCTTTCTTCTCCTGGACAAATGTCATCTTGGGATTTGCTGCTAGTCTTGGTGGCGGGGTGTGAAATTCCACAGCCTCTGCACAGAGAAAACAGAGCCCAGAGGTCCCCGGCTGAGAGCAGTGGGTGCCCAGAGTGTTGCCCCATCACCGTTTGTCTTGGGGTGGCCGAAGGGGCCTCTTGTGACAGCCGGGAACCCAGGAGCCTGTGAAGACTGGGGCTGGTGACCCACGATGGCTGCTGCGAGCTGAGCATGGCCGTGAGAAACTGCTGTCACTGTCACGAGCTGCAAAATTAAGTGATGTGCTTCGTATGACGTCTAAAAGTCACTGCTCGGGTAGTGACAGCCATGAGCATCCCTGGACGTGGGCAGGAGGCTCTGCTCCGGGCCACTCAGATGAAGTATTTCCCTTGCTCCACAAAGCCCCACGTGTGGCTGCGGGATGTCCCCTGATGTGACACAGCAGCAAGAGGCCAGGGGAGCTGCCATCGCCAACCGCAGCCCTGGCTCGGGCAGGGGAACAGGGGCTACTTAGGGCTGTGAGGTGGGGGTCAGGTCACAGGAATAAAACGGGTTGGGCATTTTGGAGCCAGGCGCCACAGCTGCTGGCTCTGTGTCTTGCTGCCATGGGGTGAGTGGGTGCTGGTCCTGCCCAAATCCAGAGAGCAAGACGCCGGCTCTGCTCCCATCTGCAGGGGGAGGGCTGGGTGCAGGGGCCTGTGGCAGCCTCCTCCCCCATCACAGGGGCAGGAGGAATTTCTCAGCTCTGTGTTTTTGGGAGCTGAGCCCCCCAGCCCCTTTTTTTGGGAGCTGAGCCCCCAGCCCCTGCTCCCCACGCGGCACTGGGGCTCTCCCAGTTGTGTTTCCCAGTTTGGTGCTGTTTCCCAGCTGTGTGCTCTGCCCTCTTCCAGCCACAGTTTGGATCTGGTGTGGAGCAAGACCCAGACCGGTGCTGCCACCTCCACTGGTGTCACTGCCAGGACCTTCTGGCCACCACAGCGAGACCAGGCGGCTGGTGCCTATTCCTGGCTTTCATGCCCAGGGCCCACGCCAGCCTCTGTGGCGCAGGGGGCTCAGCCTTGGCAGGAGAAAGGGGACTTGAAATGTTGATGTCACCCTGGGCTGACAGTGCCTTCCTTTTCAGCATCATTTGCTCCCTCTGCCTCTGGCCCAGGGCAGAGCCTGCAGTAGGGCAGGGCCCAAGGTCTGCAGTGGATGGGGGACAGCGGGGTCTCTCCATCCTCCCCAGGGGTGGGCTGTCCTCCATGCACCCCGCTCCATCCCACTAGCATGGCCGTGAGAGGCTGTTCCCATCCATGCTCTGCTTTGTTTTCTCCCTGCTCCTATTTTAAGAGTTTGTTCCCAGCCCCGCCGCTCTCACGTGGCCTCGCTGGGTTTGTTTCCACGCGTCTATTAAAAGACAATGCCCAGATGGGAGCACTCGTAGGAGGGCTGGGCTGGCTAATTCAGGCCTGGTAACTCTGTGCGGCCGGCTGGCAGCCTGGAGACATCCTGTTTTGGTTTCTAAAAACTCCGCGGGCAGCGCTTAGCTCATCTGTGCTGAGAAGGGCAGGGACCAGATCCATCCCCTGCCTCGGACCGGCTGCTGCTGCCAATGGTGCCAAGGCTCTGGGGGCTGTGGGGGGTCCTGGCCAACTTTTGGGGGGCGTGTGGTACCAGTGTGGCCCATGGATGGGCAGTGAGGGGCAACCTCTACCTCCTAACCCAGGGAAGCTGCTGCTCCAGGCCCCCAGGGGCTGGTGGCCAAAGCAAACCCTGAGCTCGTAGCCATGTCTTGGGGGTCTCTGGGGTGTGTTTTACTATCTGAGGGGTGCCTGGAGGAGCCCTGCTATGGGTCTGCCCTCCTGGAAAGGCCCATGGCTGATGGAGGCAGCCTCAGAAGCTCCTGCTCGTGTGCTGCTCTTATCTGCTCTATTTCCATCTGCTGTGTTCCTGTGTCTCCTCCCCATCCCAGCCCCGCTCTTGGGGATGTTTCCAGGCTTTGGAGCAGGGGGGAGGACCCGAGGGCCGCTGGAATTGGTGAGGGTGGCACAGCCAACACTGCACCCCATCGCTGCCAAGCTGCCGTCCCCTCCCAGCTCCGGCCCCGAGGCGTGGGGACACTTTGCGGGTTTTGCCCTTTTAAGGGGAGAAGTTGGCTGGGACAAACCGACTTCCTAATCCCTGCGGTCCTTGCCCTGCTGTCCCCTCCCCTGGCAGTCATGACCAGGTTTCTCTTAGTCCAGGGGAAAACTCAGCCTTTTCTGGGATGCTCAGAGGCCCCGGGTGCTTGGAGGGGGGCAGTTTGCTTTGGGGGTGCTGCAGGCACTCTGAGATTGGGGTGCCCTGTCCATGGCAGCCTGCATGGCCAGAGCTGCCACCCAGCGAAGGGGACACAGTGTCAAGGGAGCTCCACAAAGAGGAGACCCCCCAGAGTGCGCCCAGCCACATCTGAGCTGGTTTAACCTATGCCGTGATTTAAGCTCCCGTGTTTCCTGACTGCTTGTTCCCCTCTTTGCAGGGGCTGTCCCAGCACCAGGGAGCGTTTGCCCCTTCCTCCCTTGCTTTTGTGTGTGCTGAGGGTTCCCAGTGATGCTGATGTGGTGCTGTGGTGCGGGCAAGACCCAGGCAAAGAAAGGCACAGGAGTGGGTTTTTCTCCAGGACTGGTGACACATCTCCCCTCTGTGTTTCGTTCCCTTGCAGGACGCACCGCCATGCGGCCGCGGTGGCCAGGCAAAGCCCAGGGAGCGGAGAGCAAAGTCCCGGCACCAGGAGCCGGCACCGGAGGTCACGCATCGCGGCGACATGGCCAACGGCACGGCCAGCGGCACAGGTGAGCCGGGGATGGGGGGGCACAGAGCTCGGGGCTGCGTTTTGTATGGGGGAAAAAATGGATTTCAGCTAAAATCGAACATCTTGTAGCGCCTGGGAATTTCCTCCCTGTGAAGGGGTTGGTTTGTGTTGATTTTTACTTTGGATAAGCAGAGCACTGTGGTAGGATTGGTTCTGCTTGCTGTGAATCCTTTCTGTGGCTCCTCTCTGGAGTCCCCCTGACCAAAAACCACTGCTCCAGGTTTGTAAAGGGACCCTGGGACAGCAGCGTCACCGGTGTCACAGCAAGGGGACAGTTATCATGGCTCAGTGGCTTTTTTAGGGCTGGGGGGCCTGTTATCATGGCTCAGTGTCTTCTTCAGGGCTGGGAGCCTTGAGCAGAATTTGCCCAGCAGTCTTCAGGGACAATGTGAGCTCTGCCCATGGAAATGGGGGGCAGCAGCTCCTATGGAGCACCAGAGGAGGCACAAACCCCCTCAAAAGGGGCTGATCCTGCACCAAAGGGTGTTTCTGGAAGGGTTTCTCCTGCCCTTTCTTGGCTTTGTCCACAAAGCCATAAATACCTCGTGGAGCAGGTCTGGGACCTGCTGAGTGCCTGATGGTGAAGCTACAGGGCAGCATCTCCCACTCCCCTGCGCTGCTTTTGCAGACATCGCCGTCCTCTCTTCTGCTTTTATCGGAGACCTGGAAGGAGCAGCAGAGTGCTCTGTTTTGGGTAGAATGAAATGTGCTGTTCAACCCAAAAAGAAGAATTATTTTTTTATTTTTTTCCCCATTTCATTGTCAAAACCTGGAGCAATGTGGTTTCTGTTTTGCCAAAACCCATTTTGGGAGGGAGGTGGGGGAGTGAAACGCTGCCTTTCAGCTGTGGCTCCCAGTCCCAGACTGGGGCTGTACCAGGGATGAGTGCTGGGCTGTGTCCCCAGTGGCCACGCACCCTTTTTTTAGCCCCCCCTCCCCGGTGCCCCCCATTGGCCAGCCACCCCTTCCCAGTGTCTCCCAGTGGCCAGCCACCCCTTCCCAGTGTCCCCCAGTGCCCAGCCACCCCTTCCCAGTGTGCCCTGTGCACAGCCCGAGGTTTTATTCCCGTGAGTACAACTTGGCTCTGTGGCTTTGGTTTGTTTAAAGCACATTTTATTGGCCAGGCCCCAGCCTCCCCCGTGGCTTTATGGCCGTGCCGTCCTCCTGGCTGTTTACCCCTCACCTCTCTCTGTCATCGATGATTTTACCCTTTACAAGGGGAGAGGAGCGTTTTGGGTTGCTGGGAGCGGGACTGGACACCCTCTCCTGTGCTCTGTGGAGTGCCTCTACAAACCATCCCCTTCCTGCTCAGTTTAGTGCATTTGGGTGACGTTATTGTGGTTTTTTGAGCTGTTGCAAGATCGTCCCCATTGCATTTGTCACTCGCAGCTGTAATTTCACCCAGCAATAAAAGGAGGTTGTTTCATGGCGAGTTTTCTCCGCAACCGCCTTGTTTAGCCCTAGCCCTGTTCCCCCTGCACCCCTTCCTTATCAGGTGAACTTTGGATCAGCTTTTCCCCTACTCAGGCCAGGACCGAGATCAAACAGATCCCAGCGCGGTTACCCAGGTCACTCCTTGGGTTCCCTGTGAAGATGGGCACGACGTGGCTGAAGCTTTTCAAATCGCAGTCAGCTGCAAAGCAGAAGTGTCCCCATGGTCTGTGCCTCTGCAGAGCATCTGTGGTGCTTCAGCCTCCCGTTTGCGGGGGGAGATGTCAGGGATTTCCTACACTACTGCGAAATCCTTGGGCTTGTGGATGCAGATCCCTCCCTTCCCCTCTTCTCCATTTCTCAGCCCTAACTCGTGGAGCTCTGTCTGCATCCCCTGCTTCTCTGTTACTTGTTGCTGGTTTGTTTTTAATGCTTTGCCGCTGAAGCCAGGATGTCTTGTAGCGAACGTTATCCTCTGCTGGCCTGCCAAGTCGCGGGGTTTTTTGGCTATCTAATAAATAATTCATCCAAAAAAATTCCCCTTCATTTTTTTTTCGGTCGGCATTTTCCTCATCAGTTTTCTTTGTAATTTTCCTTCGCTCTTCTCCTTCCCTTTTCCAAAGTTCAGTGGACCCCAGCAGTGTTTAGCCCTTACCAGTGCAGCTGCCGGGGGGGACGTGCTGTGCCGGCCGTTCCTGAGCTCCTGCTCGTTGCCCAAATTCCCATCAGCCACACAGCGCGTTTGCAAGCAGCAGATAAAATACTGAGTGCAAATGGAAAGTACCTTCTGCTTTTCTCTTGGGATGGGGGCAGTGGTTCCCAGAGGGGTCTGGCTGATGGGTGAAGGAGGTGCTGCCTTTGCTGCGGGCTGGGAGCACCGTGAGTCTTGTATTTGGGTGGTGCCACCTTCCAGGGCTGCATGGGCGCTGTGGATCAGCCCATTGCCCTGTTTGGGTGCTGACATCTTTGCTCTCTGCTTTTCCAGTGAATGGCGATGCAGCGGGTGCTGCGGACACTGAAGAGGCAGCAGGAGCGACCGGACCGGCCCCGACGGCATCAAGTGTGGCCGATGGCTCTGCTGCTCCTGCCCTGCCCAGTGCTGGGGAGGCAGAGGAGGCTGCCTCCGGCTCCAGCGCCCCCTCGGCACGGGCAGTGGTCCCAGCCCTGGATGCTCTGCCCCCCGGGTAAGCTCTGCCTCCTGTGTGAGACTCACCTTCCCCTGACAGGGCCAGCACGATGGGGCAGGAGAGGGGCACGGGCAAACTGGGGCACTGCTGTGTGTGGGAAGAGGAGGAGGTTTGAGTAAAGGGGCTGTGCTGCACCGGGAGTTGGTGACAATGATGGTGTCGGGGTCCCTGCCCCAGCTGAGCCGTCTGGCTGGGGCTTGGCCATTGTGGGTCCCACTGTGGGCTGGGGTCCAATCTGTGAGCGCTGTGCATCTCTGGGGCAAGAAACCCAGAGGAATCGCGTCCCTGGGGCAAGAAACCCAGAGGAATGGCACCTCTGCAGCAAGCAGCCTCTGAGCGTGCGTGTGCAGGGGAACAGCAGAGCTCTCTGCTCTCCTGGGGCCACTGGAGGGATCAGTCAGAGGAAAGCACATTGGAGAGCGAGTGTGGATTTCCAGGGAGCTCCTGCTGAGCAGGAGGGCACGAACATGGCCTGCAGAGACACTGACACTGCTGGGGTGAGGTGGGCAGGACCCTCACGTGTGCCCCTTCGGATGCTCCACATCCTCCTCTTCCTCTGGTGGTGGGGAAGGGGCTGGGGGAGAGCCAGGACTGGCTCTCAATGGGGGTGGTGGCAGGCTCTGGGCTCAGCCCCCCTCCACACTGCAGCTGGGTCGTTCTCCCCTTGTGTTTCAGACACCTTTAATTCGGGACTGAAAAGGCAAAGCAGCAAGAGCGGGGGGTTGAGAACGGTTTGTGTTTGGTATGAAGGGAGCTGTTTATTTGGCTTTGGCTGAGGCGATGCCTGGAAGGTCAGGGCCTCGCTGGTGTGTCAGTCACAGGTAATTAGGGTTAACGGCTCAGTGTGCCTTTATGCCGAGTGTGTGAGGGTTTCTGTTCTCTGGCCTGGGCGCTTCCTGTTTCCAGGCAGCTGGAAAAGTCCAGTGCTCTGAAAAAGGTCTTTATTCCAGCCGGAGCGTGTGCCCCTTCCTGCTCCCACCAGGTAGACTCAAGGGCTCCTTTCCCCACCTCTGCCTGGCCCCAGGCTGTTGTTCCTCTCCCGGGGTGGAGCGGAGCCCGTGGGTGTCTCACCGTTGGGGTTTCCGGAGGTTTGGGAGGTTGCAAGCGCTGCTTTCTAAGACACCATTTACCTGGTCTGGCTGGGTGGCCCTGTCCTCCCCATCCCCATCTCCCTGCGGTGCTCACACACCAGAACATCGCATGTTGGAGCAGGGAGGAGGATAAAATGCTTGGGATTTGGGAAGTGGCTGGAGAAGGGCAGGTAGATGTCCTCCTTGTGAAATTTGGGTCTCTGCAGACACCTTTGATTAGCACCTCATGTGTCCGTCTCTCCCTGTCCTGGCCATAGGATCCATGGGGGATTTCTTGGGGTGCAGTCATGGTGGGCTGGCTTGGGTTGCAGTTGATCTTCTTGGCCCTGTCAGACCGAGCACCAAGGTCTTGCCAGGTGAAGGAGAGTGGATAATTGAGCCCACTGAGGTCTCCATGGTGTGAGCCCTGCCCTGAGGCTGCCAGACCAGGTTCTGGGGTAACAAACAGGGATTTGCACAAAAACAGGGATTGCTCAAAACACCACGGTGCTGGGGTGGTGTAAGTGAGGATCTCTCGAGGCCTGATCTATGGCAGCTGATTTTTAGCCAGCTCAGAGCACCAGGGTGTTGCTCTCCCTGGTGGTTTGGGGCCCAGCTGGGGAGGTGGGCATGTGGTTGGTTGGGCTGGGGTGTCTCGGGCAGAGGGGCTGCAGACAAAACCAGGCCACTTCAGCTCCAGCAGCAGCGGTGCAGGACAGCCCCTTGCTGGCCCTGCTCCCATGGGGATGGCTGTGCAGGGTGCTGTGGAGCTGTCCCACTGTTTGCTCCAGCGCTGAAGAGCCGAAAAGCCATCATGTCCCATTTTCTGCCTGAGCCCTGCCTCCTTCCAGTGTCTCCTTTCAGCCATGGGAGCATGGAGAGCCCTTGCCCTTGGCTTCCCGAGGGGTGGCAGCTTTTCCTCGCTGCCGGCCCGGGCTGCGCGCAGACAGAGCCGAGAGTGGCTGGGTTCATGTGGGGATGCAGAGCTATTTATTCTGCTCCCATAGCTGCCTCCCAACATCTGCAGCAGATGTGGCGGGCTCAAAGGCATCTCTCACACAACCAGGAGTCTGTTCTAGGGGCTGGAGGGTGCTGGAAGGTGTTGGGGATAAGCCCAACCCCAGCGGTGCCCAGAGGCTCCCTCACATCCTCCTGGCTCGCACAGAGCGTGTTTCCTCGCGGTGCCGGGAGCGCGCGTGGCACAGCAGCGCTCGAGGCCTTGGGGTCCCGGCTCTCGCATAGGGGGGACCCTACGCAAAAGCGAGGAAGGCACGAGAGCCGCTGGC